CCAAACATTTTACTGTAATGTGTCTGTATTTCCTTTCATCCACAGCAATTCTATATTCACTTTTGGATCCTCCTCTACTAAGTAAAGTCGTGGAATTATTTTTATCTCCACTTTGGAGATGTACAGATAGGCATGCTCCAGTTTACAGTTGGTTACCAGCTGGCAGCATTAGATAGGGATTTCCTGAGCCTCTGTCCAGTGCAGGAACCACAAGAGCTTCCCTTTGCTTTTAGCTTTCCCCCAACCATAGCAAACTCTCTCCCAAAAGGTAGGTGTGCAGCACTACAGTAACCTCCTTACTAATGTACTTCTCTTCCAGCCTCTACAAACCCCACCATTAGGGAATTTTGAGAGCTGGGGGATGGTGGGGAGGGAGAGAATGCGTGGAAGGAACCTGCATTCAGTTGTGCCTACGTCTGGCTGTTGTATAGCATCTATGCTGCCATACAACCCAAGTGTCCATGTGCAACACTAGTGCAAAATATCTACTGCACGATGAAAACCCCACAGATAGAGCAGGCAGTGCTGCCTACTCTGCCATAAGTGATCTTTCGGGCTCTGGAAAAAAGCCTGCAAAACTAAAAATTCTCTAACTCTGCCTTCCAGAGAGACCATATTTCAAAAACTGGAAGCCCTCAACTGGGGAAACATTGCTGCCATTTTGGAATATTCAAGCTCCAACACAAAAGCAAACAGGAAATACAGACTAGCTTAACCTAAGCCCTCGGAGAATCTTTGGTCTGCTATGATCTTATCCTGTGATCACGAGCAAATCACTTCAATACCACCTTCCTTGTTTAAATTAGAGCACACAGACCACTTGAAAGGCAAATGGTATAATCTTCACAATGAAAAGCAGATTAAGGAATGTTCTGTGAGCTGCTTCTTCCCCAGAAGAAACAAAGTTAGATCTAGTGATATATGCAGGCTGCCATTCATTTTGGCAAATACATTCATGTGCTCCACATAGCACATAAAACGTGCCTACCATCCTGTCCCTGTCAACAGAAGCCCAGAGTCTCAGAGGCAACTTTTTTAAATGGTAAAATTATATCCTACAGTTCCAGAAAAAAAATGCTGAAATACCAGAATTGCCTGGAGAAGTAAAATTTCAGCTTTCAACCAAGTTTAACAAGCATCTCTTCTTTCTTGTGCAGGCTGCCACCCAGTATGTCTTTTCTAGTCCCTTGTCTTGGGGACATGCCCACACACCAGGCTTTCTCAAAAGAAGAGGATTCAGACTACCACTAATATATTCATGACAGTGAAGCTAACATGTCACGGCACCCACCCCCAGCTTCACAGGCAGGGCGGGAGCCTGCAAAGCAGCTGCCATTCGCAGGTCTTCCACCTTTTCCCATCCCTACTAGTTAGCTGCGGAGAGGAAACAGCACACCATGCAGTTCCCCCGGGGACCAGGGGGCCTGTTGCACAGTGGCAGCACCTTGGGCCAACTGAGGCTGTGCCTATGAACAGTGTGGCCATGCCATCAGCATACAGAACTGACCATGGTATCCCCAACACAATCCCAGTTGGGATTGCAGAAGCAGCTGATGGAGACATGGGAGGAGACAGAATCTAGGAAATGTCAAGCAGAAGAGAAATCAAATAATGCAGGGAGACATGAAATTTACTGAAGAACAGATCAGAAAGAAGATCAAGTGGAAATCAAGACAAAAAGAGCAGTGAGCAGCTATACCTATACGGAAAGAAGTTGAGAGAAGCTCAGAAAAGGAGTCAAGAAGTGACACGGAATAAAGTAAATAAGCACAAAGACACAAGACAGAGGAGGGACAGAGAGGAGGGAAAAAGAGAGAGGACTGGAGTGACCAATGAGACAGCAAGGATCCAAGGATGTGAACAACATAGGACACAGGATGAGGAAAGAGATAAAATTGGTGCCTTAGATAAACAGAAGGGAACCGAGGGAATGACTAAACCTTTCAATCTGTAGAAAACCTTTTTAATTTATTTTGCACCCCAAGATCCCAAAATGCAATCGGCTTTTTATGGGACTAACAAAGTGCATGAGCCCTTACAGCAGTTCTTTTCATCCATCATGTCAGGGCAGTCTGGGAAACCATCACAGATCATAGTGTGTTTGATGCACAGCTTCTTCAAAGGACACTCCCAAAGACCCCTTTCTCTACAACCTGGAGGCAGAGAAGCACAGCTTTTAAAGACTTGCTTGAAATACCAAGCAAGAACTGTTCTCTTCTTCCTTTATAAACCTGAAACACCCCAAATATTTTCACTTGCAATATAAATTTTTAAAGGTACCAAGAAGAGTTACTAATGAAGAAACAGAAATAAGATTATCACAGTGCACACTTGATAAGTGGGTATAAAATATATAACACTTCACAATACTCCAGTGCTTTTTAAATAATAATAATCTATACTATGTTACACATGTAATGTAAGTAATGGTTTAGGCATTAGCTCAAAACCCATACACCACTACTCTTGAAATACATTTACTAATATATAATCTTTTCTTATCCTGAAGTCTACAGGTTCCTTTAAAAGCACAGCACAGAGACCTTTGGTCTTTCAAAAGCAAATCCTACAACAGCATGGAATCTCCATAAAACCTTGTAGAGATATGCACATTTTTCTGGCAGCACTGATACAGAATCCAATGCAGACCACAATGAAAAACAGAGAGATGCTGTTACATACCGACCACAGTTTTTCCAATTCCATAATCTGAGACCAAACCAGTCTGAAAAGATTAGAAAGCCCCAATGGCTGTATGAATCTTCAAAAGGGTTCATTATTATGCGGGGAATACACTGTATTATTGTCTCTTCACAGCCCTGCTAAGCATCCCCCCTGATTTCCAGGTGATGCTTATAAAACTGTGTCAAAGTGCTTTGACAGTAAAATTCCTGTTAGTCAGCTAGAGGAAATGAAGAATGGCCCAAGGTACATTTTAGAAAAGTGTTTTATCTTGTTTTATTTCACTATTTATTTCCTTTAACTAACAAAGCACTTTGCATACTTTGACATACTAATGTCCAGCACATCTGACACTCTGGTTTTACAGGAAGCCATAAAAACAGAGTGTTCTCCTGACTAAAACAGACGGTTTGGTTGCCTTGTTTGGCCTGTTCTATAGATAATATCACTTTTCATTTTAATCCAAGCTCATTCAGATGACAGCCCTAATAACCTCACATGCAAATACTTGAGGTGTAAGCTCACAAACTGCACTTGAAGCAGCACCTCTGTCTGCCTGGACCTGGAACTACAGCTGCGTATCAGCATTAAGTTGCTAAGCAGGTATGTTCTTCCAAGAAGTGTTATTTTACAAACATGAACCAGAAAGTCACAGCTCATATAATTACTGGAAAAATCTCGTGTTTTAACTGTTTAACTGCTCACTGTAGGAGAAGACCAGGTTCGAGGCCGTTAAGAAACCTGAAAGTGCACAAATCCACGGGACCCGATAAGATGCATCCGCAGGTCCTGAGGAAACTGGCAGATGAACTGGCCAAGATACTATCCATCATATCTGAGAAGTCGTGGTAGTCTGGTGAAGTTCCCACTGACTGGAAAACATAAACCCCATTTTTAAAAAGGGAGAAAAAAGGAAGACCCGG